CATCAACTATGAAAAAAGCTTAATTCCGCTATAATCAGCTCTAGAAGACAACTGTTGTTATTCATCTCAAATCAGTTCAATGTTGATTTAATTCAGTTCAATAACAGTTTTGATATTTCAAAATTCATCAATTATGAAACAAACAGCTCTACAGAAGACAACAGTGTCTTCATTCAGCAGTGTCAGTGCAATCAAATTGAGAATATTCATGAATATTAAGTGTCTTCCCAGTTCTAATTCCCAACTATTTCGAGGTATTTCTTTAGAGATATCTTACAGGAAAAGCTCCACTAACTGAAGTATCACCCATTTATGGATGATCTCTGTGACTGACAGACAGGTCACTCATCACAACCTCTCACTTTAGCCTTTTGACACCACTTGCTACCTCAAGCCATAACTAAAACAGTTTGACAGCCTGGTCTGTATCAGAGCGGCCTGTGTGAGAGCTACAGTCTAAAGCCAAGAATTCACTCTGAAGCCTCATTCTTGTGATAGATGGAAAAAGCAGAACTACAGAAACTCAGCGCTACACAGGATCTCCATCTGCCCGCTTCTCTCACCCATAAACCCCATAGCCAGTTTTCATCGAGGCAGCAATTTCAATTGCAAAGTATTTTGTAGCAGTTCTTCAAAACATGTCATGGCTATAAAGTGGATTTCCTGATCTGGGGGTTGAATGGAGGACATCAGTCTCTTTCTGCTGATAGCTTAATTACTTACAGTCTATTCACTGGGCTTCGCAGACTAACAGGGTTATCTCTGAGTAGGATTTGAATGTAATTTAGCTTGTCAGACTGCAATATTAATCAAAGTTGGAGGGTTTGGTAAGTATGGGATATGTTGAGGAGAGACGACATTATAACATTAATCATGCAGAGCTAATCCATAAAACATGATGGGTGTCAAGACTCAAGGCAAACAGATACTGCTAAATAAATCACTCTGTGTAATTGCTGTGATGACACACACTTGATTAAGTTGCACTCTGTGGTAAATAATCCACATACATCACTCAAGGAACACAATGTGGATGCTTAATTATCCTCTGTTAACCCTTTGAAATAGCTTTTTGTTGATTACATCACATTCAATTCACACAAGAGCCTCAGTTAACAACATTATATTCACCTAAGCTATAAATAAGGCTAAAATCGTGTTTGACATCTACTTTAACAGTTAATGGTGGAACAAAGAAGTGTAGAGTAACTCACTGTATTCTTAACATGACTGATTAGCAGTGATTTTCAAGGGCTTTCAGGAGCTATGATGTTCCCCAGCGTATACTTATTCATGTAAGTGCTTTTTCTGTGCTTTATGAAAAGCTCCAAGGAACATTGTTCTTTGAACATTAGCAATGTGTAAAACCTTTAGTCTTGCACATATATTTGGATTAATGAGGTGCTAAAGGGAACAGTTCCTTTCAGTTGTGAGTGCTCTTTACGTGAGCATAAGTGATTCGATGCTTGTAGTAACAAAACAGTGAAGCAGCCCCATAAAATGTTTTATGTTGTATCATAAAATGCTACATTCCTACATACGTTTAGATCTTGTTTGATGTAAATCAAACCGCAAGTGTTTCCTCTCTCTGACCGTTTAAACAGAATTGGACTTCACATGGCGCAGAGCTAAAGGGATAGTTCACCTACAATTGAATATTCTGTCATTATTTAGTAACCCTAATGTTGTCGTTCCAAACCTGTATGACTTTGTTTCTTTTATAGAAACAATAATCATATATTTTGAGCATCCAGATCTAACAAAACACATTTTATGCGGTGATGATTTTGTATGAATGTGCAATGTGATTTGTGGGAAAACGAATGATTTTTAGAAAAAAAGTTAGCATGAAGGTCCATCCCTAAACTCAACCATTGTTTGAAAATGTGTGAATGAAATCATACGTATTCATGCCATCTACCCACCAAAAAACAGTTATGAACTGCGATGAGACTGTGATTTTGAGAAATGTCTCATTGTTTTTTTTGTGCATACAATGGAAGTCAATGGTGATCAAAATGGTTTGGTTACCAATGCTCTTCAAAATATCTTCTTTTTGTGTTCCACAGAAGAATGGAAGTCATATACAAGTTTGGAACGACATGATTACATTTTGGGGTGGGCTATCCCTTAAAATTCAGAAATCAGCGATGGAAATTTGCCTGAATTTTGATGAATCTGAAGTCAATTCAGTGCAACTTCCATGGCCACCCTGAATTTAGACTAAGTAACACCTCTTTGGAACAGATGCTAATGTATCCAGGCAGGCATGCTGGGGAGTTGAGGAAGGTCAACTCGCACACAGAGCAGCTGTCATTGCATGCTTTAGGAAGGCACCTTCTCCTCTTCTTATAGAAAGCATTTGCCCACTCTAGATGCTCGAGACCCTCAAGACGATGTTTATAATAGCACTCAAAGGCTACATGTGCAAATACAGAGCACAGGCCTCCTGTGAAATACTATAGCAGCTTCTGTACATCCAGCACAGCAAATGTTTACTTCTAAATATTCCCAGAGGACATTTTGGACTTCCGAGAAACAGGTCAGCTGTGTCTCAGTATAAGTGGGCAAAACAACTTTACCAGCCACGGGTGATTGAGCACGAGTGCACTGTCACATCAATCATGCTGAGTGTGTACATTTGAATCGGATTAATATATTTCTAAGCCTACGCCTCCAGAAGTGTCTGAACTACACCGAAACTCTTAAAAATAAAGGTGGGTGTCAGATCAGTGCCATTGAGGAACCATTTTGGATTCCCCAAACAATTCTTAATTATTTTCTTAGAGTGAAGAACATTTTAATAATCTAAAGAATCTTTTGTGCAAGGGAAAGGTTCCCTGGATGTGAAAGGTTCTTCATGGAACCATACATGCTGATAAAGAACCTTTATTTTTAAGAGTGTAGGGTGCAAAGTAAAAACCACACACAGCGAGATGTTAATAGCTACCACATTCAGATGTACAAAGTGTAGTGTAGTGTAGTATGTAGTTTGTGTGCTGCTGTTGGCATTACAGCAGCTTGATGGTTTCTATTTCAATCCCACGAGATATCAATAAACTCTTACTTTTCTTCGTGAAAGGCATGACAATGAAAACATAATTTCCTCTCTTGTCCCCAAAAGACACTCTTTCTGCACAGTGCCAAGCAGACCAGCTTCATACAGGCTACCCTGTCACAGAGACGATCACCAGACTGATTTAAACCAGAGGGAGAGTGTGTGATGGCTTTCCATTCTTCTCACTCCATTTTCCACAGCTTGCATGGCTTGTGGATGGCTTAGAGCAGAACAATGGGCTTTTTGTGCACTTCTGAAAATGTGTGTGCCTATTGGGATGTACAGCCATAGCTAAACCTTATTTATAATATACATCCCACCATTTAATCAGTAAGTTCTGATACAGAGAGAACCGTCGAATTAAGAAAACAAATACAGACAGGTAACAAATATAACACATCAAGACTGAATCATTAAATATTTAGCTATAATTTAATCAATATTACTTATGACAGTCTACAACAAAATTATGGATGCACAGGTTTAATAAGTCTGTCTACTCGTGCCAACAGATAGCAAATATAATTTTCTTATATTCGCCCAACCAGTTTATTGTATGATACACCAAAGGCAACGCATCACTGGGCCTTGAGTTGTCGTGCATAATGATCAGATTCAGACTTGTGGGGAGACTTGCGTTTCTGACATTTGTTTATGCATAATTACGCAGAGCTGACATCCCTCTTTGAGACAAGATGAAAGTGGAAACGATAATTAGTATTTTCACCGAGACGAAGATCAAGGTGCCCTTCAAAGACTCAGAATCTAATCAAATCACACATTTGTCTATGTACACAAAATAATAATGAATACATTTTACATGCAGAGATCATGTTACATTACAAATGTAATTATTTTTGCAGCCTTGCAGGGCCACTTGTAATTGTAAATTAGTGTTAGCTATTATAATTACTTATACGGTATCAACATGCACAATAAAACAGTTTTTAATAGAATAAGAAATTAAAAGTGCATCAGTGAAAATGAATTAATTGGTCAACTGTAACACATGCAGTTGTATCAAACATTTATTTTGAAGGCACTCTATATTTCTCAAGTCACATGAACTCATTGTATTATATTATATTATATTATTATATTTTTTGGTATGACTATGCACAGTAATGTTAAAGACTCTACAAATAAAACGATCCACAGGCCCTAAATCAATGACCACAACAGGACATTCCCAGGAGAACCGAAGTGCTCCAAATGTAACTTTCCTTCCTGGGTTTTAATGCTATAAACTTGAATGGACAGTGTAAAGTGTTAACTACTCTTACATTCTGTTAATTAGTGTCTTACCATTGATTTGAGACAAGATGAAAGTGGAAACGATAATTAGTATTTTCACCGAGACGAAGATCAAGGTGCCCTTCAAAGACTCAGAATCTAATCAAATCACACATTTGTCTATGTACACAAAATAATAATGAATACATTTTACATGCAGAGATCATGTTACATTACAAATGTAATTATTTTTGCAGCCTTGCAGGGCCACTTGTAATTGTAAATTAGTGTTAGCTATTATAATTACTTATACGGTATCAACATGCACAATAAAACAGTTTTTAATAGAATAAGAAATTAAAAGTGCATCAGTGAAAATGAATTAATTGGTCAACTGTAACACATGCAGTTGTATCAAACATTTATTTTGAAGGCACTCTATATTTCTCAAGTCACATGAACTCATTGTATTATATTATATTATATTATATTATATTATTATATTTTTTGGTATGACTATGCACAGTAATGTTAAAGACTCTTCAAATAAAACGATCCACAGGCCCTAAATCAATGACCACAACAGGACATTCCCAGGAGAACCGAAGTGCTCCAAATGTAACTTTCCTTCCTGGGTTTTAATGCTATAAACTTGAATGGACAGTGTAAAGTGTTAACTACTCTTACATTCTGTTAATTAGTGTCTTACCATTGGCGTTCTTCCCGCAGATGAGATGTTCAAAGTTCTGAACGAGACCAAATATCTCCGCGTCATTGCTGACGACAGCCTCCAGCGCCTCAGGGGTCACTGGAGAGGTGTTGATCCCGCTCTGCGCCGCCAGCACACGGAGCCCGATCTCCTCCACTAGATTTTCAATGCAAGCGGTCAAACAGATGGCCGCGTACTCGTGAATGCGCACTGAGATGCGAGTGTCCACCATCCAGCGGAAAAAGCGTCCGACAGACAGACTCAGTGTGCAGCGGGAGGACTTGCTCTTGCGCAGGACCTCTCCGGCGCTCATGCTGTACAGCGAGATGGCTCTGACCGCGGCCGAGACGCAGCTTTCCGCCAGCGCCCAGCTCATGACCAGTCTCATAGCGCTCTGCACCTCGAACCGCGTGCACCTGCAGTGCACGACACTCAACCGCTGCGCCTCTCTGGAGATCCGCAACAAAGCTCTGCGCATAAGCAGTGACAGACTCCTGACGCTCTCTGGTGTGAAAGACTCTCCAGCAACTTTACGCAGGAAAACATCGAACTCCTCATCTGTCCAAGGGAACTCTTCTAACTCTGGTAGCCTCGGACATTTGGAGAAGATGTCCTCTGGGTCTTCAGGAAGCACCGTGTTCACTGTGTCCCAGCTGTTGTTTCTGCTGTTCATGGAATCCGTGTAGCTCCACCAGTTCCCTCGCTGTGGAGAGCTGATGAGCGCCTGCGAGTTGGACTTGGAGGAGGACAAGCTGAGGGATCTGTAAGAATCACCGGCTCCATATCCAGAGTCAAGGGTCAAATCCTCCAAAGTCTTCATAGTAGTATTGCTCAAGGCTGCCATATCTTGCTTATTTATGTAAGTGGAGTGATTTATTCTACGTTTTCCAATATATAGGACTTAACAGGAGGTGCACTCCTTCCCTGGTTAGTAGACACGCAGCGCAAAGACAAACTCCTTGACTTAAGTTAACGCACGTCCATCGTAAAGCACAACTCTTGGTTTAAAGGTCTGCACACATGGGCAATCCAGCGCCGGATGACCCACGCTGGTCAGACAAACTTTTGACAGCTAAAAGTTTCATCCAATCAGCGCACAGCTTTCTCTCAACCAATCAGACACGCGCAGTTCAGTGCAAAGTCAGAACATAGGACAAGAGTTCGGTCTTTTTTCATTCTATCTAAACACAGTCTACCACTAATTTATATCACTATCGATACCACTAAACTTAATAAATAAATGTTGTTTGAATGACATTGATTAGTCTCGGGTTAATAGGCAATACATAGCAGCTAACTTAAACAAATGAAAGTGGTATACTAATTCTATAGAGGTGAAATATTCCTGCATCTGTTTGATGCACGTTTATGCCCTCGTGTGGTGGTTAGTAGAAGGATTATGCTGAAATAATATCTGAACAAGATTTCTTTGAATGAACTTTATTTATTCTTCAAAACAAGAAATTTTAACAGGGAAAAGTACATACCTAAATCCTCTACAAACAATTTCACAGAAATTATCCCTTCATCAAAACTTGTCTGTATTACTGTGCAAGTCTAACACTCTTTATAATTTGGCACCCTCTATTGTAAGTATTTTGAAGTATATTCACAAGTATTGTGAGCCCAAACCTCTGCTATTTTAAACTACTCGTTAAGTTTGAAATAAAGAGACAAACTGCAGAATATTAGACAACCCCCTCTCTTCACATTTCTTTTAAATCTTAAGACCGGCAAAGAAGCATTTTTAAAATGTCTCATGTGCATGTGCCTTCAATTATCCACTCTCAGCGTTCTCCTGGTTTCTTCATAGATTCATATTTTACCCATCAAGTTGAATGAACTTGGCAAAGCCCTCAAGAGAATCTTGTTCATCAAACTCCAGCGCTCACATCAAACACAGTGTGGCAGGCCCATGTTCCCCTGAGCATCGACTGGGGCAGAAATGGCCACCACACACACTAAGCCAGCCAAAAACAACAGCAGGGTCCTCTGTGCTCCTCTGTTATCCTTGAGATGGTCTTTTAATAGGAATGTTCCACATGCCCCGTTTGGAGTGGAAATAGTGGTAAAAGTTCCTCAGTCGCAGTCTTTCTACCTCTAGTCCGTTCTGCAGAACCCTGAGAGAAGATGTGACAGAGGAAGAGAGACCAAACACAGTAGTTACACCAACACTGGAACTAAGACTTGATTGGTTTGATATTAAATTTCACATTCTCATAGTTAAGCCGCATAGTTTATTAATGCATTAGCTAATGTTATGTTATGGAACATTATCATACAGAGTTACCAGAACAAACTGGCATTCGCAATGGAATTAATTACCTGTCCAGCAGCTCCCAGTCTTCTCCTCCCCAGCGGTCTTTAAACTCTTCTGTATTCATCCCACCAAGTTTATCAAAATCAGACTTATAAATTCCAAACAAGCCAAAGCCATTCACTTCCCAAAAGCCTGTGTGAGAAAATCAGACCTTAGATAAATGTACACAAACAATGGAGATCTCCCAGTTTCTTAAAAACGCATTCTAAACTAATTTAGCAAAAACAGTTTCGTGCCAATGTCCATAACCTAGAAGATGCATAAAACAATTGTATTTGTCAATTCATGTGCAGTACCCTAAGTGAGGGAAATCGCTTCCAAAATGCCAGAGGAAGCTGACAGCATGATGCATATAATATATTGACCCATCAGAATAAATATGCAAATTTGTTTTTGACTAAAATGTGTCTGCCAAAGGCAAATAAGAAAATAAATTAAATCAGCCTCTCTCTGTATAAATAACCAATTACATTCCGACATAACCTTTTTCAAACAATCATTCCACTCATTCTTCTCATATCACATATCAATCCTGCTTGTGATAAAATCATGTTTATTTCAGTGAATAAATTTGCTATAACAGTTCATCTATACATACACTACTGTTCAAACCTTTCGAATTACTATGAACTTATGTTTTTGTAATAAATATGTACTATTATTCACCAAGGTCCATTAAAGTGAAAAAAGTAAGAAGTAAACTGCTAGACATTATGTCTAAAGAGAGCAATACGACTCTGTTTAAAACAAACAGGATATGCAAGAAATAGAATCAGACACATTATGCACAACTGGTGTTTAAGCATATGTGTTTTTATGTACCTAGCAGCTGTCTCTAAAAGTGTCTGTGTATATGTTTTACCATCAGGCTCCAGAGGTGAGCTCCCACAGTCCAGCCTCATGACGATGGGTGCGAAGGCCAGTTTGCCTTCCACACAGTGCTTCCTAATAGTCTCCAGGATATTGTGAGGGAAGTGGATATGCAGGTCACACAGGAACACTATGCTGTGACTGTCCTGGAAATGATGTTACACCATCACCAGTGTTGCTTTGTGCAACCAATTTTCTTGGAGAAAATTTGTAAATATTACTTTTTTTATCAATTAAAGTTATGTTTTGAATTCATTTTCAAATGCCTAAAAAAATCCCAAAATACCTTCTAGACAAGCTTCCATTCTCGAAAAGAGTCAATCATCTATAAAAATTCATTATTTTCCATTAAAATTAAACTTAAATATTTAATTCCCAAACACAGATCACCCCAGGTACAGTACACATTTACAATAGAAAAGGCCTGTATAAAATCTTCTCACCTCTATGGTGTCTACACCCATCTGTAAACCAGACGATCTCTCGAAGTTCCCTTCACGTCTCAGATACTGGTACCTACACACACAGAGCCAAAAACAAACAATCACCAGTGTTGCTTTGTGCAACCAATTTTCTTGGAGAAAATTTGTAAATATTACTTTTTTTATCAATTAAAGTTATGTTTTGAATTCATTTTCAAATGCCTAAAAAAATCCCAAAATACCTTCTAGACAAGCTTCCATTCTCGAAAAGAGTCAATCATCTATAAAAATTCATTATTTTCCATTAAAATTAAACTTAAAAATATTGTTCCCAAACACAGATCACCCCAGGTACAGTACACATTTACAATAGAAAAGGCCTGTATAAAATCTTCTCACCTCTATGGTGTCTACACCCATCTGTAAACCAGACGATCTCTCGAAGTTCCCTTCACGTCTCAGATACTTGTACCTACACACACAGAGCCAAAAACAAACAAAAAAAACAAATAGAGAAAAATATTGTTTTCTCAGTTACAAACAGTATGTGAGCCCAAAAACAGGACTTACATGAAGAATCCTCCAGTGAAGATCTATGCAGGGACTCTGCTCTGCAGGTGCTTAGCTAAAAGTGGAAAGACACAAGAACTCAGTCCTCACCTGGGCACAATGCTCTCCTTCAGTGCCTGCTCCACATCCATGTCATCGCTCTGGAAGTCTACGACGATCACGCTGAAATTCTCATCCTTGGTCTCACGGTGCAGGAGCTCCATATCTGAGATAAACTGCTGCACCCAGCGAGCCTGGTTCTTTACTGTCACAGAAGACAACTCCGATGAGTGGCTATGAAACTGCAGTTTGCCAAGCTATTCATAAATTAAACTAGTTATATTGCGCTCCTAAAATGTACCGTATCTGGCTTTGTTTTCAAATTGACATGCTCTCTACAGTCCTCATGTACACTTATTTGCATTGCTTTGATAAATATGCACTAACAGGAGCTCATATTAGTTTTAAATACCTGGTACTACAAAGTGTACCATCACGTCATGTCTCCATTTTAACATAGTCGGCTGGCAGAGCAGGGGTTTGGCCCAGCTGGTGCTCCAGGTTGTGGTGGTGCGTGTTTGGGTACTGGAGCCGCTGGGTGGTGGGTTTTTGGAGGGTGTATGGTGGGATGAGGGTAAAGTTCCCTCTCTGCTCTCAATTCCCTCCTCATATCGACTGCGGTGCAACAGCAGATAGATGTAGTCAGACAGACGCACCACTCTTTTCCCTCCCTCAATCAACAACAGCTCCATCAAATAACGGTTGCCCCTGGCTGAGTCTCTCCTCTTCTCTACATTTACAATACGGACCAGAGTGTAGATCCTGATAGAGAGGTGAAGAAGAAACAGTGAGAAAAAAAGAGAACAGTTGCTGTAAATAGAGTGCATTTAAATGAGACAATAAGGGATATACATGATAAATATACGTACATAATGTAACACCACGTATCCTGTTTAATCTAGTTGTGTCAGGAGTAATAAAGCTTTCCCATTTGTTATGATAAAACTGCATGAAGCGACCCACTGAGAGACCGCTTACCAGCAGGAGTTTAGACTGTCTCAGTACAAGGTTAGAATTAATAGCTCTACACTTGAGCTGCAGGCTCAGCAGGAAAAACCCACACACATATTTATTCATTTTTGAATTATATATATATTTTTCACTAAGGTCCATATTATTAGTAAAGTTGTCTACACCTAAAATAGTCTTAATTTCTAAAAAATACTGTTAATTTTCTGTCTTCTCTATAATTATTCATAGTATTAAAAAGGCTGTTTTTCCAACTGCGCCTTTAAGCCTACTGTATGTAAATGCTTTCTTTATAATTTTATAATAATATAATAATATAATATAATTTTGACATCATGGTTCGGTATGGTTTCGATGCAGTAGGGCGACAAAACTAAACATTAAATTGCATTTTTTTTTATTAAACAGTGGTTTACTGAACAATTTGCTCTTTCTGTAAATCTCTAAAGGATTAAAATCTACCTCAGTTTCTGCTCTAAACTATAGGGAGCCCTTTTACGTTACTATAAGGTTACAATAAACTTGAGTTAAAACTTAAATTTAAATACTATTTATTTTTAAATATACAGGTGCATCTCAATAAATTAGAATGTCGTGGAAAAGTTCATTTATTTCAGTAATTCAACTAATGACCATGGTGTTGGTGTGTTTGACTGGCCAGCAAACTCACCAAATCTGAACCCCATGGGGAAGAGAATCTATGGGGTATTGTCAAGAGGAAAATGAGAAACAAGAGACCAAAAAATGCAGATGAGCTGAAGGCCACAGTCAAAGAAACCTGGGCTTCCATACCACCTCA